AACCGAATGTCCAGTGAAGTATGGACGAACCAGAATTTCCGATTGGAGTTACCAGAATTTTGCTCAAGTTAACAAGACCTCTGCCGTTGACGTGAACAGAATTCTGGCGACTTCAGCTGAAATTTTCTGCTTTGTTCATACTTCGGCAGAAACTGGTTAATTCAACCAAACTTCCTCTTTCCCGCGCGGAAGCGATAATTCGGCCTCGCGCGATATTCAAGGAAATTCGTAGTCCGTGATACTCGCGAGAGGAAATGTTTTCACGCCGATATACGGTGCTAGAGACTCATAAATTCATCGGCGGTCATGATACGTCGCTTTGCAGTCGGAGATCCCTCGAGGCGCTCGAGGAAAACGCGAAGAAGGAAATTCTCCACGTGGGTTAAAGGAAATTCGTGCAGACCGCGGGCGCGATTTTCAGAAGGCCGCTCTCGTGGTTCATTTCGGGCTTCCACACAGCAGGAAAGTTTCGTGTCTGCGACTCGTCGCCGGTTGCTTCGTCATGATTGTCGCACGGTAGCTAAATTAAGAATTTTGCTCTTTAAATACGAATATTAAACTTTCCATGTAGAGAGTACATATATACGCATATTCTACGTTGAAAATTTAAATATTCGTATTTAAGCAAGAATGTCCAAAGTCGGCTACTAGCCGTGTTATCAATGTATCCAGACATTGATACTTTGACCTTAATAACATATTTCCTTTATACCCACACAATATTATAGCAATATAAAATATTTTTCAAATAAGAAAATATATGTCTTAAAATATTAGTTTTTTTTCTATTCTAAACGGAAGAATATAGATTTAAATAAATATGTTATAATTACCCATTGAATAAATATTTTTTATTCTTTAGATATTTTTCTTCTCAAGATGGAGAATAGTCCGCTAAAAAAATATGTAAAGTCCCAAAAATGCGGCTCACTTTCATGTCGGATACGAGCGCGACATGTGAGGTTCAGTGTGAGGGTTACTTAAGGGAGCCGGCAAAGGGTAGCGTGCGAATATCGGGGCGCGGGTGGTGCTGCGGCCTGGGAGGCGAAAGAGCCCTGCACTCTGTCTCTCTGTCCCTCTCTCTCTCTCTTTCGCGCGCGCGCTTTCTCTTTCTTTCTCCCTATCTCTCCACGTCGGCATCTATCGACCCACCCCCGGCAACGGCAGAGCTTCCACCTCCCCGGAAAGCTTTCGCGCGGCGCGTACACGTCGGATTCGGGCTTCTCCCGTCGTTGGCCCGTCGGTACATACATTGAAGAAGAAGAAGAAAAAGAAGAGTAGAAAGAGGAAGAAAAAGTAGGCTCTCGACGTGGTGCTCCTCGCGGTGAAGGGACGCTTCTCGCCCTTACGATCACGAGGAGGAGAGTGTCTTTCCGGAAGGATGACCCAGTCGGGGCTGAGATTGTCTTGGCTTAGCATCGACGAGTTCTCAGAGATTTACGCGAGTAAAGAGGAATTCGTTAGACCTCGTAACCCGAATCGAAAGCGGATCAGTGTCTCTCACAACGTCTCGATCGCGACAACGGCCGTTATCTTTAGAAAATCGGCGAAAACTCGCGAAACAACGGTGAAACGCACGATGCGAAAACGCGCATCGTCCTCGTCCGATCGGGTTTTCGATAAGCCAGGAGTCAACGCACTCCTCCGCGCACAGAGGGGATGGTTTCAAGTCTCCTCCGCCTCTCCCCGCGGGCTCGAACGAGAGTTCTGGCTTTCTAGTTGCGTCGTTGAAGGAATACCGGAAGAGCACACAATCTGTACTACCGCTGCTGCCCCGCCCACCCTGGGCTTCTCGTTCATTCATTAACTCTCGCGCGCGCACCCCTCGCTGCCTCCCCTCGCTTTTTCTTCTCGCTCTGCCGAGAACGCGTGGATCATTTCGCGATCCCGCGAAATCGCCGCTGATAACGCCGCCGGCGTCACGTGACATCCGCGCGATATGTATCCGCTCAATTGACTCACTTTGCTTGATACAAAAATTAAAAAAGCGATTTTGGATATCCCCCAGAATCGCAGTTGATCCGCGGAATTTTCTTTCCCGCAAAATTATTCCCGGCGCGGAACGATCGCGACGCGTCCCAACCTAACCTGATCGCTGCGTCGATTTCTGTTGATTGTACACGGAGAGAATTTTATAGTGAAAATTACTGTACACGGAAAGAACAGCTCTGTTAGCGTGGCTGAATTTTCTGTTACCACTTTCTGTACCAAACACTTTCCCACGGACGTAGGATGAGTGACTGAAAATTTCTCTTTTTTACTTTGACGTAAGACTGTCTTTTTAAAATCGAATGCAATTAACTGCGCCTTGTATAACTCAATAAGACACAGTAATAGCGGGCGATCTCTCGGTCACGGAAATTCAACGTTATTAATATTCGATGCACGATTCGCGACTGACGTGCGACCGGTGAAAAAATCGGTGCAACGCGACTGTCGGGTCAATAATCGTCGTCGTCGTCGTTGACGTTGATCGACAATAACGCCATAACTCCACGCGGAGACGAAGACTTCGAGGTGAACACCTTTGGACACCTAAGCAAACAGCCACGACGAATGCAGCATGTTCCGCGTGTATGGTCGCGCTCTATTGTCGCACGTGCGAGTTTCATCATCGTGCAAATAATCGTCGGGGATTCGAGTCGGGGAGCCGCTACGGCACTCAAAGCTGACGGTAGATTTCTCAGAGTGCTCTCAAATCTCCTCCAATGAAATTACACTCAAAAAATGTGGCAAAGTATTGCTGCGCCAATGCCCGGACACGTACCTAATTCTGGACATTCTTCTTGTTTCGCTCTTGAAATACGAATATTTAAACTTTCAGTGTAAAATGTGTACACACATACATTGAATATATACATATATTTTATGTTAAAAATATGAGTATCTATAAGGACTACAATATGAATTTCCAGAATAGGCATACGGAGAGAATTCTACTCTCTATTGTAACTGAGAAATAGATCGACATTCTGCAGTCTACTCTCCTTTTATTTTATACATGCTATTTTATTATATTTTACGAATTGAAACTACTATGCTTGAAGTGCTATTAAAGCACTTGCTATATTTCTAGCGAAACTCACTATGTTCTTCAGTAAGATAGATTTTACTGACAGTTTATTCTTGGACTACTGAAAACATAGTAAAATTGAAGAGAATTTATATGAAAAAGAAAGGAAATTATAATATCCTCTTCGTGTGTACGTGTTCGAGAATGCTTTTATTTTAACAACTCGCGCGAATTCGAATGATTTTTCACTCATACGAGCGTATTATCGAGCGTATTTTCTACCCTGAATCGAGTGAATATTTTCATTAGAAATTGAGAAGTGAATTTGGTATGTTCCATCTATTTAACAGAAATAATTTCAATTGAAATTCATCCAAATCAGAAATTCACTCAAATCGATCTAAACATTCGCTCGCATGAGTTACAAATTCGTTTTGAGTTAATTATTTTCCTCTTTGTGTTTCCGAGCAGCAATATTTTCGTTATTGCCACGAATGAATTTTCGTTTGTTTTGAATGAGATTTCCAAGTAATATAGAGAGTACTGACGATAACATAATAGTAAAACAATGGTGATCTAAAAAATAACGAGAAAAAGGAATTTTGTGAGGCGAGTGACCGACGAATTTCAATTATTTCGACGCGAAATCGTCCCTTTTCTCCCTTCTTCTTTTTCTTCCTTATCGGGGCGCAAAGTTGTCCCCGATCGAAAAGCCTACGAGTTCACGGTGTCGCGCGTGTATTTTCGATTGATGACACTCGCTCGCCTTTATCGATAAAGGCGTATCCCGTGCCCGATGGCCTTTTTGCATCCTCATTAAGGCGGAGAAAGGCGTGCTTGTGTGTGTGTGGGCGCGCGAAGCGCCTCTTTTCTTGGCGATGTGCATAAAAAGCTCTCTCTCTTCTTCTCTCTTCTGCACCCGCCGGTGGTGTGTCGTACACGACGAGGATCGATTCAGGTGCAATTTTCGTTTGCGCGAATCTCCTTGAGCGTTAGTCGTCGTAACTTGTCGAAACCGTAGGACTGCGAATTCGCAATAGTGTGAACCACCCCGTTCTTCGAGGCTACTTCCGAGCTGTCTCATCCCAACAATTCAATTCGCACGAATGCCTCTCGTCCGAATCCCGGTGGAAAGAACCGCGACGAAGTGCGCGTCGTAACATCCGCGGCATATATCCGCGGTGTTGAAGCAAGACAACGCTACACATCGCGCCGGTCGCGTTCATTCATGATTTCGCGAGCAACGACGGAGCTTCGCGGTGCGCTCGCGACGCTCACCCCTCGCCGCCGCCACCGCCGCTGTCATGAACTCCCTCCATCTGGCCGGCGTAGTAGTCGCCCCGGAGTTTCCAGGGGCGGACGACGCATTTTCCCGATTTTCACGGAAGTATCCGCGAGAGCGACGGAGATGATCGTCCCGACGTGTCGGTGTCTGCGGGATCGCAAACGCGGCGAATCGAAAGGCGAGGTCGGAACCGTCGGTGGTTTGTGCGAGTTTATTTCGAGCGGTAGCTTGAGTGGAGTCCGGAAGTCGCGTTTAATTATGGGGAGTAAGGTGATGAGCGCGAAGTGAAAACACAGCAGACGGTGTCGTGAAATTTTCTTTGCCTTCCCCCGGGCAGAGGCCAGAGGTGACGTGGAATTGGTATTTTAAGTATCCAGGTTGAGACCCCCCCCCTCTCTCTCTCTCTCTCTCTCTCTCTTTCTCTTTCTTTTAAGTTGAACTTTGCTTCTTAATAAAGATAGAGCGATAATGTAGAGCGACATTTAACCCTTCGGGCTGGGAAGTCGAGGTGCGTGCACGTGCTGCGTGCGTACACTCCGAGTGACGTGGAGGGACACGATATTCCGCGTGTCGGAACACGTGTTTGCTCGCGGCGTTTCCCGTACTCTGCGCCAGTGGAATCCGTTCGGATGAGCTTTAAGCGAGACCCCGATTTCTGTTTATTCGTACAGCAAACTAATCGGGCCTGAAACTTTGTCGCAGGTACTGGCGAATCCGGCAAGTCCACCTTCATTAAGCAGATGAGGATCATCCACGGTTCCGGCTACTCGGATGAGGATAAGAGAGGGTTCATCAAACTCGTGTACCAAAACATTTTCATGGCGATGCAGTCGATGATCCGGGCGATGGACCTCCTGAAGATCCAGTATGGCGATTCCTCAAATATAGTATGTATAAACATGATTCAATATAGATGTGTATGTGCGTATATGATCTGCGTGTATGAGAGAAACAATTATCCTACAAATTATAGTCGTTCTTGGCGTTAATCATATCCTTTTAAAACAATATACGTGCAAAGTTATTGTCAGCAACATTACAGCAGTACTTACTACAAGAAACGTTAATTATAGTATTAGTAAAACAATTATAACCCTTCTGGCTATAATTATTTCACCGTATGATTATGTATGGAGAAAAAAGGTTGTACCTGAATATTAAATATGATATGATATGTTCTTGGCATTAATCATATTCTTTTAAAATTTTTCAGAACATTCTGTTCTGATAAAAAAATAATATTATCTCAGTCACCATCCTGTATAGCTCTCATTAGTAGAGAACGCTTAATGAAAAAAAAAAAATATTAGTAGCAATATATGTGCAAAGTTACAGCAACATTACAGCAGTACTTACTACAAGAAACGTTAATTATAGTATTAGTAAAACAATTATAGCCCTTCTGGCTATAATTATTTCACCGTATGATTATGTATGGAGAAAAAAGGTTGTACCTGAATATTAAATATGATATGATATGTTCTTGGCATTAATCATATTCTTTTAAAATTTTTCAGAACATTCTGTTCTGATAGAAAAATAATATTATCTTAGTCATCATCTTGCATGGTTCTCATTAGTAGAGAGCGCTTAATGAAAAAAAAAAATATTAGTAGCAATATGCGTGCAAAGTTATCAGCAATATTACAGCAGCACTTACTACAAGAAAAGTTAATTATAATCTCAGTAAAAAAATTATAGTCCTGACAATAATTATTTCATCATATGATTATGTACGGAGAGAAAAGGTTGTGCCTTAATTAATTATGATATGATATGATGTGATATGATGTTCTTGGCATTAATCATATTCTTTCAAAACTTTTCAGAACATTCTGTCCTGATAGAAAAATAATATTATCTCAGTCACCATCTTGCATGGCTCTCATTAGTAGAGAGCGCTTAATGAAAAGAAAAATATTAGTAACAATATACGTGCAAAGTTATTATCAGCAACATTACAGCAATACTTACTACAAGAAACGTTAATTATAGTCTCAGTAAAAAAATTATAGTACCTCTGACTATAATTATTTCACCGTATGATTATGTACGGAGAGAAAAGGTTGTGCCTGAATTAAATGTATTACATATATATCGCGTTGTTATATGAAATATAATATAATATCACAGAGAATAGGTTTTCGTCGAAGGAAACGTCTGGTTCTTGCATGAACGAAATTCTGTTTCCTTTGACCAAGACGCACCCCGTAGTGTCATTGTCATGTTAATTCAAGCGATCTTCTTCGTGTGCAGTCACAAATATACCAGACACTTTTTCCTCGATATACCGGCGAATGCCTCGAGTCCCGTGAGTCTGTCGTTTGTAGGTCAAGCTACCGCACACTTAAGAATTAATTAAACCGCGCCGGAGGGTTGAACGATAACGATAAGCACTCGTACGCCTAATATCATACATGTATCGTGCACCGGAAGTACACAGACGGTATAAACCCGTTTCCCTCGCCGCACTCATGAGACTTCCTCTCGCCTCCAGGAAAAAGCGGAACTCGTACGAAGCGTAGACTTCGAGACGGTGACGACGTTCGAGAGCCCGTACGTGGAGGCGATCAAGGATCTGTGGGCGGACGCCGGTATACAGGAGTGCTACGATCGCAGACGGGAATACCAGCTCACGGACTCCGCCAAGTAGTGAGTATATTTTGGCCGCGCGTCGGCGCATTCCCTCGTCTATACGTGTTTTATCGTCGACTGAGAAATGATTATGCTCCATCCGTCCGTCCTTCTTTCCTTCCTTCCTTCCTTCCTGCCTTTCTGCCTTCCACCCACTCCCACTCCCTTGCTCTGGAACTCCTCGTTACGTGTATAAGTCTTACGCGTTTCCACGGGATATGCCGTGTTCGTTCCCTTTCTCGCTTGTGCGTCCCTCAAGCGATTTCCAGGGCGATTCTCGTTTTTCCTCAACACGTCCGCGTTGTTTCAGAAAGACTGAGCCTTTTGAGCTCGGCATACCCGTGATGGTTCATTTCCCGTTTTCGTCATTAGTTTAGGGTCGCCATTAGGGCTCAGATCGACGTTTTGACGTAACACATAGTCACCTCTGTTGATACACATCAATCCTATATGGATATATATATCCGTTGTAACTCTCCCTCTATTTTCGAGAAAGAAGATAATAACAAAAACCGGCTCTAGAGCTGCGGCAAGGCTTCAGAGCGATGAGGTCTTCGTTTCGGAGCCCTCAGTCTTCACTAAGCCTTTTTCGGGTCCCGTTTACGCGCGTTCACATCCTATCGTTCCACCTGCATTCGCGACGTTCTCACCGCACACCGGATACAATTGCACTCTCCCACGATGGCTTTGCCTTCTCTCCGCTCTATTCCTCCTCCTCTTCTTCCTCTCCCTACCTTCTCACACCTCTTTGACAACGTGTACCAGCGTTTCCGTACTTTCCGGGTATTGAGAACACGATGTTTCAGTTACCTAATGGAGATAGATCGAGTCGCGGCACCAAACTACCTCCCCACAGAACAGGACATTCTTCGTGTGAGAGTGCCCACGACGGGTATAATTGAGTATCCCTTTGACTTGGAAGAGATCCGATTTAGGTATGTGTGTCTCCGTCGCGGTGACGGCCGACGGCGATGAGAACGAAAGGGAGAGAAAAACGAAAAGAAGGAACGAGCTGCCTGCGCCTGCGAAACCATCCCTCGCATCGGACTGTTTCTGCATAATGCCCTCTTTGTCTCTTGTGACTTTGTACACTGATTTACTATTGCTGCGCATTCCTAGGACCTGATTGTACTTGATTATTTGAGTGTTTGCCTGTTTCCCTCGCTCGCGATGCCGATTCGAGTCCTGTGACTTTTCTTCGTGTGTATATGTGTGTATGTGTGTGTGTATGTGTTTATATATACACGCATGAGTGCTGTACAGTATCCTGAATGAGAACGAAACAAGCACGCGATCTGCGAAATTGCTCTGACGTTGAAAATTATATTGCCAAAAAATTTCTTTGATCTGTCTCTTCAGAGACGAGAGATCATGAATATCGCGATGAATATTGCTCTCTGTTGCATTCTCTATCGATATCACTCGAAACGGATGGCTAAAAATTGACGAACTTATTCCGTTCTATCTTGTCTCGTATACACGTCGTCGTGGTTGGCGTATTGGCCAAATATCCTTCGTTGTTTCCAAATTAAAGTCTAACCCGCGCAATTTTGCGCGTGAATACGAGACATGAGACACACGAGGAAGCGAGAAGAAAACATGAAAGTTGGTCACTGGACTCGGGGCATCGTTGGAAAACTCTTTCAGGCTGAGGCGACGGACGAGCGAGCATGTACGAGCTGTGTCTTCACGAGAATTCTGATTGTGTTTTACGATTATTTATATATATACTTAAGTATTATGTCACGCATGGCATGCACACCTCCAGACAGTGGCTTTCTTTGTTTTGCAGTTATCTTAGTGACCTAGAGCGTATCGAAAAGCCTGATTTCCTTCCGACCGAGCAAGACATCCTCCGGGCACGAGCTCCCACCACCGGCATTATAGAGTATCCGTTTGATCTGGACTCCATCATATTTAGGTACTAATACCTGATTCAATCCAATTATACCTTCGAACACCTCGACGTCGCCGGAGATCGACCCTCCGCACGAGGAACGACAAAGAGAGCGACGACGATGTATTCTCGTGCGCAGTTGAGAATACGTTAAAATATCGACAAGTTTTTTTTAAAAACCGGTCTTTACTCGCAAGAACGTTGCACCTCTTTTTCCCTGTCGTTATTATATATGTGATCGGAGATTTATGTGTAGGAAATAGGTCGTTCAGTGTAGAGAAGTGAATGACAAAATTTGTCTGTGGTTAAACTTTAAGTAGATTTTATCTCGAGAGAACTTCAATCTCATCCGCGAGCTTCCAATTTAAGAGACTTCTTCGTGGCGTGGCTGTCATCGTGAGATGGGTTTAATTTATTGTCTTTTATTCGATACCACCGCGATAATTAATTACGACGATATTAGAGGTTGAATATTATAAAACTGCGACGTATAAGAAGACGTTCGATATATTTTCTTTCGTCGGATGGGAAGTGGGACAGAATACGGTTTGTTAAACATGAGTTATATAATCCCTTGAATGTAAGCGCTTTTTTGAGGAGCTTCAACGTTTGCATGTTTTCTATAGATTGTTCTGTCGGTGTTACAATGCATGGTAATGAATTGATATTGTTCATAATTGCGCAATAATGATTAAGAATGGCGAATATGGGCTTCTTGAATGTCAGAATTAGGCAAATTTCGCATAACGATCTAGAAAGACGACGAACAAAGTCGGAAAATATAATTTATCTGGGAATAATATAACTTATCTGGGAATGACGAATAAATTTTCACTCGAGAAGCAAGGTTCACATTCGGCTTCACACGCGCATAAATCTGTAGAGAGCTATTTGGACAAAAAGAGTGTCGATTCGAGTGAGAGGTTATTATTCGTTATTCGCGATATTGATCTTATTCGAGTAAATTCAAAGAGAATAATTTCGGATAACGCCCGGCTATGGTAATATTGCACAGTTCTAATTGAACGTGTTATTTGCAGGATGGTAGACGTCGGCGGTCAGAGGTCGGAAAGAAGAAAGTGGATCCATTGTTTTGAGAACGTTACTTCCATTATATTTCTAGTAGCTCTAAGTGAATACGATCAAATTCTATTCGAGTCGGAGAACGAGGTAATTATGACACGCTCGAAGTCCGGACAGCGTATCCCCGTCGAATTTTGACTTGCGCAGCTAATGACCCGCTCTCGCGTCTCTCTCTCTCTCTCTCTCTGTTCCAGAATCGAATGGAGGAAAGTAAAGCACTCTTCAAAACGATTATAACATATCCCTGGTTTCAACACTCCTCGGTTATTCTGTTCCTCAACAAGAAAGATCTGCTAGAAGAGAAAATCATGTATTCTCATCTCGTCGACTACTTCCCGGAATACGATGGTGAGTAACGGCGACACGGACGAGAGTGTCCTAACCTACGATAACAATATACATACACGTCGTATAAACGAACAAGTTCTGTGGTGATAGGCCCGAAACAACAGGACGTACCGGCCCGGGAGTTCATCCTAAAGGTGTATCTTAGTACGAATCCCGATCCTGACCGAATGTGCTACTCTCACTTTACGTGCGCGACAGGTCGGTTCGGCTGAGTGGTGATCGAAGCTATAAGCGCCGATCAGCAGCAGAGAAGCGTAGATCCCCCTGCTAGTAGTAATTTGTCGAACGCGCGACTCGTGCCGCTACGTAGATATTGGATTGCGCAATGAATAATTTCAGGTTTTCTCTCGGAATAAATCTACTGGAAAATCTGAAATGACCTATCAGACAATTCCGCTGCACACCATACGCGCCATAAGTGTGTCCTCTCTTACTTCATCCCACGCATAATTACAGTAATCAGTGTAACACGTATGGGTACGCGAGTTGTAGCTAATTGATTACGTAAGAATCCAGACGCGCTTCTTACGTATCGAACTCTGCTGTGTAGAAATGCAGTCTGCACGTCTCGCTATTAATTACTACGAACATTCGGCGGAAGTTGCGCGGCTCGCGTCGCGGTGATAGTTTGAAACTCTTGCCGAGTGTATCAGACCGTCGATCTCGGACCGAAGATCGGAATTCTCAGCGTCTTTTTGGAAATTAGAGAGACGAACTGTACGTGTTGCGGACGGACGGATGGACGGGCGGGCGGGCGATGGTTTCAGATTTGCAAAATCGCGCGCGATACCTTACGTGTAAGTCTTCCAGCTTATTAATGAGAGGCTTCCGAGTGGCTTCTTTGATGTTCACGGCGGCTAATTCAATAAGTTGCCCTTGGAGAGCGTATATTGGATTTTGAGTCAAGTACAACATTATTCCATTAAAATAGATCGTCATCTCAGCCTGACGTCGCCGCGCGTTATCCTTCGCGCACGGGAATCCGATGTCGTTGTCGTTCGCGTTGGATTCATTCACCGACTGCAAAACATTTGGAAGTATCAAATGACGTAGAGACTCCCCTTCCCCCCCGGATAAGAGACGCAGATAAGAGCATAAAGAGAGACAGTCAGATGGACGCAAAGAAAGATTTCTTCGCGAATACGCGTTGGCTAAATTCCAGCGTCGCGCGCGTCTCGTATTTTACACTTGGCAAAATCTCAACGGTGCGCGCCATTAATTGTCCGTCGTTGAGCGGTCGCTGGAACACGCTTGGTAGATGAAAGACAGAAAAAAAAAGAAAAGGAAAAGAAAGAACGAAAAAAAAAGGAAAAGCAAACGGAAGTAACGCCATGCTCTATCCTCGCTTTTGTGTATTTCGCAGGTCCGCAGAGAGACGCCATAGCAGCTAGAGAATTTATCCTGAGGATGTTCGTTGACCTGAATCCGGACAGCGAAAAGATTATTTATTCCCACTTTACGTGTGCCACAGGTAGGCTAGCCGGCTGCCGGTATACCGCTCCCGTGTACAAAGATACCGTATTTTTGTCTCGCTTTTTCATAACGGTTTTTCTTCCGTGTTACGTTGCGCGTCTTGTACAGAGCTTGTATGTTGCCTGCGCCTCCTCTCTCCGTATGATCAGGTGTGTAATCGAACGTTAAACGCGCCATCGAAAGATCAACCTGCGTTACGTCCGTGAGAAAAGGGTGTGCCGGTCCCGCGGCGATGAATACGTTCGACTTCGGTATGTGGATATAACGCACAAAACGACTTCCCATCCGTCGTCTTACGTGTCGTTAACGAAGAGTCGAGCTCTCTGTACGCGTCAGACACAGCAGGTTGATTCTCCGATGGCACGCACAACATGACACTAACCGAAAATCCTCAACGATGTCCGATTTGTGTTTTTGCATGCTGCGCTTACGGAATGAACCATCAGACACGGAGAACATCAAGCTCGTGTTCTGCGCCGTTAAGGATACGATCATGCAAACCGCGCTCAAGGAGTTCAATCTCGCTTGAAGCGCGACTTACGGACTATGAATCCCGAATCTTAGCGCGCGTCACGCCAATCGCTTTTGCAGAAAGCGCTTCCGCGCAGATCTCCATTGCGTCTGTCGTTAATCTATCTCACATACGCCGAGCATCATGCAGACTCAGGCCACACATTTCGCGGAACGGATACACTGAGAGTGTACTAGTCGGCTAGGAAGTCTCAGCGTTGCGTGAATCTTGCGACTCGAACTGCTGAATGAAGGAAAATCGGGACAGACCAACGGCGTGACGTAGAAAGTTGAATTAGTGACTGTTAAATGTATACTGTTTCACTGTATCTTAATTAAATTTAATTAAATTTAGTCAAATTTAATGAACTAAATTTAGTTAACTAAATTTAATTGAGGATAAAAGATTAACGAATCTGAAACGTGGTAGTGTATACGCTGTTCTTTCATCATCCGAAAGGTTAATCTAACTTTTGCTGAAGGCAGAACTTTCGCTGAAAGAATCAGGACCGTCAGTTGTTCGAGCCCGTGATTGAGTTTTGTTCAAGTCTATCCGAGTTGCATTGATTGATCTTCATTTTTATAGTGCACGATAGCCGGTGCCCTGTAGAGGTAGCAGCGGTCAAACGATAGAGTAGCGATGATGCCTCTCGACCAGACGCAACGGGCGAGTTGTAGGGCGGATCGTTTATTTGATTTGGGAAAATTTATGGAATGTTATTAAGTTGTGCCTCTACTCGCACCTCTCTCTAAAGTTAACTTCTTCGTGGCTCGAGTCTGTGTGTCATCCTCGGCGATTCGTTCAGATGTCTCAAAGCGCCTATCGCGAATATCGCGGATACGTTAGCCCGTTTTGAACCTCAGAAAAAAATGACTACTGCCAGCCTGCAATCGACGATGAAAAATGTTGCGTTACGTTAAGTAAATATATGAATATTGGAAGGATCTTGTAACGAAAATAAAGGAGACTACACAGATTGATATTCTCGTTGCGATGATAGCGCCAGTTCTAATTCTCGCGAAATCGCGTCGCACGGTGTAAATAATAACGAGTCCTTCCGACGTCTTCGTTACGCACGCGTCATTGTAGCTGACGCGAATGGCGTAGTCGAATTTCTCTGCGATGCCGAAGAAGCATGTCTTGTTTGTACAGTTAATTGCACGACTCGATCGCTTCGTGCTAGCGAAAGGTAGAGAACGACAGAATCGCGATGAATCGCGTGTCATCTCTCCTTGCGGATGCGTAACAGCCAACGTGTGTGGCGTATTCTAACGCGTACTAAGTTTTAGTTAATCCCCGCGTCGCGGTTCGCTGAGCTTTTCTGATAGATGGGAATTGGAGGAAGAGATAATTATTGCGTTATATTTAAGACTGCGCTTCTTCGTGTTACCAAAGCATCTTCAGAGGAAATTGCATGCTGCATGTGTGTCACGACTGCTGAAGTTTTGAAGCTTTTCGTTTAGGGTAATAAGTCTGTGAAGCACTTTGTCTTTTCTATTCGATAACCCACTAATTTCTTCCTGCATGAAACTTCGTCCAGATTCGCGATCGAAGGTAAAGTCTTCTTTGCGTTAGATCTTTGCGAGCGAGTGAGCGAGAGAGCGAGAGAGAGAAAGAGAGAGAGAGAGAGAGATTGAAAGTGCATTTTGTTCTTATTATTTGTTATTTTCATATATACTAATGATTTGCAATAGAAAAATTCCAACATGTTGATTCCGGACGTTTTCTCAAACACATTTTCTTCTGTCCCACAGATACGGAGAACATCAGATTTGTGTTTGCGGCGGTAAAGGACACCATCCTGCAGTCTAATCTGAAGGAGTACAATCTCGTTTAGGCGGCGAGAGACGCGCGCGAATCCGAGTGGAATCGACCAGTTTTTCTCTCGCACCATGACCAATGTATCAGTGTGAGACTATACTAAAACTACGTTGACTCGCGAGCGCGAGCTGAGGAACGACATGTGGGAGACGGAGGGACGCGAGATAGACGATTACTAAATTTTGTGGTGCCATCGTACACACGTATACATACATTCACGCACAGCTAACACATACAAACAAATACACAAACATAGCAAAAAGGAAAAAGGAAACACACGCACACATCGAGCGTGCGTTGTGCCGCGTCGAGCTTCGTCGCAGAGAGAGCGAGTGTACCAACAGTAATTAAGACGCGTAAGATGTTAGACACACACACGTAGAACAGAGGATGGACATAAAGCGGTGGAGCGACGTGAGAGAACGCGAACAAGGACCTAAAAGTCTATGAGCGTCGTCGCGTGTTTTTTTCCGAGTGGAAGCAAAGAAAGAGAGAGGAGAGAAGAGACGGGATAGAGAGAAGGCGAAGGAAAGTAGTGAAAGAAACGGAATCGAGAAAGAACGGGAAGAAAAAAAGCGCGATGCCTCTTCACTGTCGATACCGAGGCGCGCGAGTCGATTCGGTTATAACTTGTACACCGTGTTCCCGTTTCCGGGAATTTGTTACCTTTCTTTTGTAGATTAGTTCTTAGTCGATATCGCGCGAATGCTACCCGGTCTCTTGCGGAAATAGAGAAAGGGAGAAGGAGAGAGAGAGAGAGAGAGAGAGAGAAAGAGAGAGAGAGACGCGTGTGTCGATAAAATCGAGAGCCGGGCGTGTCGTTGTATCTGACTTTTATATATATTATATATATTATATATACATATATATATACATATATATATATATATATATATATATATATATATATATATATATATATATATATAT